CGGTTGTGGACACGGGAACGGGGTTAACTATGAAGGACTTGGGTCATCCCCATATTCCAGAGTTTTTAACTTACGCCTCACAAATCATCGCGTATCTTATGGCGCCAGCTATGTGAATTCTATAGCATCGTTTACCCGCTCAGCTGCTACGATTTGCGTCATGTGGTGACAGTAACCATGACTGCTTGTTATAAGATTGGCACGAAATGTCACTACGCATAAATTCCAAAGAAGACAGAATTTGTGTTATGATCACCTTTTACCCATGTTTTTTTTAGCATTGCAGCCAAAAACCTTGGGGGCCAAGCCAACATTGGGGTAACTCAAATCAACATGGGGCTGGGGGGTGGGGATGGGGGAGGGGGCAGGGCCCCACAAATAAATGCAAATTGACACCCGTGACGTAGGAGGTTCAACGGTCAGGTTGACCCAGCAAGTGGACATGTAGGTCCCCGGAAACAGCGCAAGGCCTCTGAACGGCGTGAGCAGTATTAAGACCTACCTTGCGACAGACCTTGCGACTGTTATCGGTCACCTGAAAGCCTAAAAAGGTCCAATTTTGTTGCGTTTTGTGTAAAAACTGGGTCTGCTCGGCCGGTTATGGCCCCTAGGAGCCTATGAGCTTATGAGCCTCGGAACCTAGCGTCCCCTTCGATATGGTCCCCTTCGGAACCCGAGGAGGCCATGACCCCTCTGGATCCGCCCCTGCTAAACAATAACTAATAGTGTAGACACTAAAACTTACAGTATCAGCAACACCTGGGGAGGACGTGTTTACTTTTCGGGTGGTCTTGCAAGCTACTCCTGAAAAAGAAAAGAAAGTAACCATAAGTTGCCGCTAAGGTAGTACTAAATCACGAAAGTGATCATCTGCGAACTTGTGTAGGTCCTGGGTGACGAACATTCGCAACAGATGTTACTCACATTAATTGCTTATTTGCAATATTCCTGACTGAAGCGATGACAGATTTTAACACTATGAAAAAGCTTAACACCTAAGAAGAGCACTTTTGAGCCATTTCACGATGGTGGAAAAAGACCAAAGTGCCTGTAATGTGAGGACAAACATCAGAATGTTCGAAATTAGTGATGCAAAGTACAAATTATCTTTTGAAACTGTGAAAACGTAGGGTGGGTTTGAGCGGACCTTTTTCGATGCCATTTTGCTCCGCATTTATTTGAGAGAACCAGCTATTTTCGTTAATCTGGCAGTAATGTGGAAGCATCGTTTTGATAGCGTTACAATTGCTGAGCACTGAAGACAAATACAGACTGTTTATAAGCGGGAAATACGGGCTTATGCTCCAGGTCGGGGTATGCCGTGAGGTGGGTAGGTGCTGGAAGAATGTTGAGGTTTTCGTCGTTGCCGACGTTTGTTGTGTGTGCTTCGATATCTGCCCCCTTCAAGCCAAGGAATCCAGCGAAATCCCTTTGCATCTAAAGGCTGAAGTGAGCTCAAAAACAATGTGGTTGTGTGTTAATTTCCTCCCAAATTTTCGGATTTCAGGACACTAAAGTAACGACATGCTATTCCGATTTGTTTGCCAGGTTCCTTTTCACCGTGAGTTTTGCTCTTAAGCTGGAACACATCTGGAAGGTTTTGAATTTGTCATTGAACCTTTTTGAAGACGAGTACGCCTGGTAGCCGCCCTTCAATTACGTCGGTGTTTTGGTGCACAGCGTTATCGCGGGAGACAGTGCGCTAAGGTGACGCTTTTTCACTCGTGCAAAGTTTGTAAGTCTCTAAATTGATTTTTAAACTAAGAGCTCGAAAAACAAAGAAGTGTTTTATTGTTAAGGATAATTCATAATACATGTATATGTCAGGGTAGATTTAGAGGGGAAGGGGGGCACGGAGCCATGTTCCTCCCCTTGTGCCCCTGACCCTTATGGGCCCCAAAGGGGGCCATAACCGACCGAACATACTCAGCTTTTTACACAAACTCAACAAAATTGGACGCGATTGGACTTCCAGGCGACCAAGAATGGTCGCAAGCGAAAGCGAAGGGCTTAAGAGTAAACAAAGATGATTCCTGGATGATCGAGAGGGTGGTGGTTGGGGGGTCTTGAGACTGCTTTCGCTCTCCAGAGGCCCTACCCTGTTTCCGGGGCTCTATATCCGGGCCACTTTCCGGGCCACTTGCAAGGTCAATCAGATCGTTGATGAGCCTTCCACGTTACCCTTCATTTCTTTGCATTTATTCGGAGGGTCCTGCGCTGTTGCTGGGCCCTTCCCGCTAGCGTATCTTGGAACTCTTGTGAATCAGGGGCCTTCCACGGATTCTTTTACGCTCGCTCTAGAACGCTCTATGCTCTAGAGCCCGGGGCCCCATATGATAACCTGCCGGGTATTCTCGGTTGCTCAGAGGCCCTTCACGTTGGTCGTGATCAACCTGCCGACACACTCACGATATGCTCATGGGCGCTGCGAATTGGTTTAAGGTTCCTCCAGTTCTCTTATATAGATATAGAATATCTATATAAGTATATATCTATCTCTTATAAGAATATCTATATCTCTTATATAGAATAGATATCTCTTGCTTAGGGCCCTATGCTCTTGTGGGGCTCATATCTGTTAACCTGCTGGGGCACACTCGGTCGTTCGGGCTCTCCAAATGGGGTTTCGGGTACCTCCTATTTGGAGGGAGAGCTCTGTGCACGTGTCGGGGGCCAATCTGTTAACCTTTTCTTCCCCACTCAGTCGTTTGGGGGCCCTACATTGTATGGTAGGTATTTCTTAATTCAATAGAGAAGCCCTATGCTCTTGTCGGGAGCCCCGCCTGTTATCCTTCTCGGGCACACTATCGTTCGTGGGCCTCTACATTGGGTCTTGGGCATTTCCTTTTTGAATGGAGGGTCCCACACACTTGTCTGGAGCCCCATCTGTCGGGGCACGATCACCCACCCCCTGGGGCATACCGGATTGTTCGGGGGGGGGGGGGGGGCCCTGCACAATGGGTCTTGGTATTTGAATGTAGCGCCCTACGCGCCTGTGGGGGCCATCTGATAGCCTGCACGGGTACACTCGATCTTTCGGGGGCACTCCCCATTGAGCCTTGGACACTTCACATTTGAATGCAGGGCCCTACGCTCTTGTCGGGGCCCCATCTGTTAACCTGTTCGAGCACACTTGATCATTCATGGGCCCTTTATATTGTGTCTAAGGCACTTCTTATTGGAATGGATAGCCCAACGTTTTTTGCCGGGGCACCATCTATCAAACTGTTAGGGCCAATGGCGAATCCAGAGGGGGGAGGGGGGACGGATCCGTGCTCCCCGTTGTGCTCCGAAGGGACCCATAGGCTCTGAAGAAGCCTATGACCAGGCGAACGGACGCAGTTTTCAATCACAAAGCACAACTAAATCGGACGTCTTGGGCCTCCAGACGACCAAGAACAGTCACAATGGAAAGTGAAGCCCGTGAGCAGACAAACCCATTACGCTGTCCAAAGGCGTCACGCTGTTGTCGCTCTATACGTCTGTGTGCCGGGTCAATGCGATCGCCAAGGAGCCTTCCACGTTACCCTTGGTATCTGCATTTTCTCGAAGAGCCCAACGCTGCTGTCGGGGCATTATCTGCTAACATACCTGAGCACTCCTGATCCATCAGGGGCCCTTCACGGATTTTTTCATTGCCCGAAAGGCTCTGTACGCTTTTACTAGGATGGCACGTGCTGGGGTCCACTCAGCTGCTCAGGGGTCCTTCATGCTAGTACCGGGTTCTTTCTACGTGCTCGGAGGGATTTTTTGCTGTTGCCGGGCTAATATAAGGAAAGGCGCCGAACCACTCGATGCTCTGGAGCTGTCTACATTGATGTAGAGCTATTTCCCTTCGATTTCGTTTGCGGGGGGGGGGGGGCCTCCACGTCTATCGGGACTCTTTCTGTTAACCTGCCCGGGCACTCTCGAACGCGCAGCGGCATTATTTCACGCCGCCGGTGTTGGGTAATTCCTCCTTGTTCAGAGGGCCCTGTGCTCTGACCAGGACCCCATATGTCAGCCTGCCGGGGCACGCCTGGTCGTTCAGGGATCCACCACGTTGGTCTTGGGTTCTTTTCCCTTGCTCTGACGACCCTATACTTGTCGACGGAAGCCTCTTTGTTGGTATGCCGCGGCGCCCATGATCGGTCGGGTTGCGTCCTTACTGGCCTTGGTGCCTTTACCTTAGAGCGGCACTCAGATATCGCCGATGAATTTTTACGCGCAATTGTCGAACATGATCTCACATGCCGCTGACGTCGTATGTAACTTTTCCATTGGTTATTGAATTTGTAACAGCTACTTTACTTCTGAATCACGTTCTTAATAGATATTAAATGATAGGATATTTCGTACTCCTTCATTACAACAAAGCAAAAACTCTACATTTGTCGTCGGCCATCAGCTGATCGCATCGACCAGCCCCTTAGCTGTAGGTATTTAGCACTCAGCGTACGTTTGTTTTGCTGTTTTTCTCGAAATTTAGCTTAAAAATGGCACGATTCGCCGTGATCTGGGGAAAATGGATATGTTCGAAGCATATGCATACGAAGAACACTTCGTTTTCTACGGCTGCGTACAGTGAGATGGGTTTCCGTGTACAAAACGGCATGTCGAGAATCAATTTGATGACCGGAGTGCGATGATTTTGTTTTTTCTTTCGGGCGGGGGAAGGGGGGTAAACTCTTGGGCACCACAATGTTGCGTGACTCCCCTCCCCCTAACGAAATCCTGCACCCGCCCCTGGTAGATATAAGCTCTTGGTCAGCTATCATGTCACCGCACGTTGTGCGCACCACTAGCCTGACGCGCCAGCCGCCGTGCGGTTTCCATCATGCCTCTGTTCCTGTGCGCGACTGGCGCCACCTTTCGGCGGCCGTCGCGTCCGCCGCCACTCTCAGTTCTCACCCTCCGCCTCCACCCGCCGCAGGGCGGCATGACGTCACGCCGCGTCGGCGCGCCAGCTGACGGCGCCGCCAGCTGACTGCGGTCGGCGCGGCTCGGCCAGTCGGCGGCTGCGGCGGTGAGCGGAGGTCGGTGGCCGCGCCGCAGCGCTCCGACCAGGACGGGAGCAGCAGCCAGTGCTTGCCAGCGATCGACCCGGCCCGGCCGGCCCCGGCGGCCGCCATGCTGCGCAAGTTCCGCCACCACACGTGCAAGATCGTGCTGGCCACGTCGCTGGTCTGGCTGCTGGTGGACGTGCTAGTGCTCATGTACTACGCGGACAACATGGGCGTGCGCGGCGCGCGCAGCACGGACGGCGAGCCGGAGCGCGGCGGCGGCAAGCGCGAGGCGCTGGCCCTCTCGCACACGGTGAACAGTCTGGCTTACGACCGGGCGCAGCTGGTGCGCTGGGAGCTGGCGCCGGTCGTGGCCGAGAAGCCGGGCCAGCCGGGCGAAATGGGCCGGCCCGTGCGCATCCCGCACGACCAGGACGACAAAGTGAAGGAGAAGTTCAAGGAGAATCAGTTCAACCTGATGGCCAGCGACATGATCTCGCTGAACCGGTCGCTGCCCGACGTCCGCCTGGAGGGGTGAGTGCCACGGCCCGGCCGGTCCGGCGGCCGCCGCCGTCTGCCGCCGGTCTGCGGCCGCCGCGGTCACGGCGAACGGTTTCTTTGCAGGACGAAGAAGGGAGAGGTCGGGATGTGGGCAGCGCTGGGCAGCATCTGCGCGTGAGCTGTGGGCTGCGGTCGGACGGGAGAAGCGCCACCGCGCCTGTGGCGGAGCGCGGGTTGGATTCTGTCGAGCGGGCGAGATAACCGCAATCAATTCCCGCGGCCCACGTAAAATCAATATCAGTTGTCGCCCGCTCAGCTCCGCTGATCGCGCGGAAGACGTGCAGCTGCGGGCTGCGGCGAGTCTCCCACCGACTCTCAAACCGCGCCTGTCCGCCTGGCCCAGCCCACGTGTCAAGCAGCTGACCGGGGGGAAACCGCCTGAGAACGGGCTGGTCGCACCGTGACCCAGAACGCTTCAGTTAAAGCTCCTGCTGCTCTCTCACTTGGCCTGAAAGAGCTGGGGAGGTGACGATGGTTTCCATCTACCTCTCGCTGCGAACGCTAGCACTGCTGGCGTTCAAGACGCATGCACTAAGGCCTGCTTAGAGCTGAGACTTGGCTCCGGCCGTTTTCGCGCGGTCCATATGAAGCTCAAGGGGCCCAGCTATTTCATTAAACGCTAGCGTGCAGGCCAGAGTCACGTGGCAATATATCACAAGCGGCGTGATGGCCAGAGTGGTCAGATCGATCGAATGGAGTGAGGTTCAGTTCTGGGGCGCTGCATATTTCATTAGCCCAACGTGACAGGCCAGTGTAAGTGGTTTGGACACCGGCAGCGTCGGCACTCGCGCCGGTCATAATCGGCGTAACGATAGCGGTCCGGTTTTTGGGTGGCATCTTGCGCAGCATATTGACGTTACATATTCATGGGCAAGACACGATCACCGGACTTGCTTTGGCTGTTGTTTATCTGGTTGTGTGGCCATTCTTTACGCGGCTTTTTTGCAGTATTCTAGCAAATTATTCGCCTGAAGCATATTTCAACTAAGTCTTTCTCAAAATCGGAGCATTCAGCCTACTCCGTTGGGTAAGCTGAACCAGGAGACTGGTCCTCGCCAGAATGTGCATCAGGCACAATTTACGCGGTTCGTTTTCGGAGGCCCTGGCTAGTTTGGTTGCTGACGCACGAAGCCTTGTTAACAATTCAGCTGCACCCGAACTGCCGCGGTGAAGTTTTCCTGAAAGCCCACTCCTTAATCGGTAGCGGGCTAAATGTCACCACACACGCAGCGTTTGTGTTAGGGCGTTGCTGGTGTTGGCTGTTCCGTATATGGTAGACTGCGGCAGTGGATTCTAAAGTTAGTCTTTGGGTCGCACTGCATTCGTTCTGGAGTTCCCAAATTTCGGTGCGTCATTTACTGCGTGCCCATGTGAAAATATAATTTTTTCAGGTTTAATAAATTGGGGATGGTCGCCGGCATGCGTGCTCCATTTTAAGTTCCATTAAAGCGTCGCCACGTTTTTGTGGTTAACCTGTATCGATGTTCAAGAGACATTTGCAGCCTCCCGGAGCTCAAAATTTCACTATGTCCTCATGCTCTAGACCTACGCATATCCTCCGTGTCCTCATAAAATTGCGTGTGTGAGTGTGCCATGTGGGCAAACACGTCACGTGCTCTGTTCAAGAATGCGATTTTTCCTGCTGGATGTCGTTCAGGGGGTAGTTTCCTATTCATTTGGAGGGGGGCTGTACCCCCTCCCTCCCAACTTGAGCTTCAGCCCCCAATTTTGGGAAAGAGTGGACCAAATCTGGGAGAAACATGTTTGTTGGCACATTTTGGGGACGGTAGAGTGATGTTTCTTCGTTCAGCCCCTCCAAACTCGTTTGAAAATACCACGCCCCTGATGTCGTTGGGTAGTTGGCTATGAACCGCAGGGAACGTCATGAGCATATGTTCTCAGAATGGTGCAATGGTCTGCATCAATATTCATTTCAATGCCAGCATTGATCCATCCTACATCTCTAAATTTATCTTAAACCGAACGGTTGATTCGTTTGGAAAATAGAAACGCCATCCTACCTGATATGTTGTTCGATAGCTTGTGTCGCACTCCATTCATACCACTGTTATGATCACTCCCCATTCATTTTGCCACATTATCTCCGTTTTTTACCAGGAATAAGTATTGAAAAACCCGGTATCTGATTTGGATATGTGACTTTTGAAAGCATAATAGACCTGATAAGACACGGGTTGATGACTGGTGGGGGTGGGACTGGAACTGAACCCTGAGTACGTTGTAGGTGAAAGCAGCGACAGCATCTTATCCAGCTGCTTTGTTATGCATGTCAACTCAATAGTATCGCCGCGATAAGTGTCGCACTGAAGCGGTTGGTAGTGAACGGACGGTGAAGCAGGCATCGCGTGCGTGCCGCCCGGCGAGGTCGTGGCTTCGCGGACGCGGGACGCCGCCGTTGGATGTTTTCCTTTCCACCTATAGACCCCGTGTTGCGTCGCTTTAGTGAACAAAGGTGTCAAAACAGGATCTCAACAGCACGTGATATGGACCTGTTTTTCCCCAAATTGCGTCCGTACCTGTTTGGCGCAGAATCATGTATCATCACGGCACATCTTCAATCAACCTTGGTCCAATTACGAGCACGTACTTTGCCAGTGGCTCCCACACATGGCCTGTGGTGTGTAGACTTCAGCCGGTTCAATTGGCGTGAGAAAATGCGTCGATAATGATCAGCAGTTACACGCGTAGTTGAATGTTTCAAATAACATCATTGTTGTCACGTGTTAGTGCGAGATCTGTTGCGGCTTAAGTGCAATGTGTCGCGGTGGGGGACGCTGCAGCCCGGCGGCCGTGCTGCTCCGGTGGGATGGTTACTGGGGGCGTGTTCCAGAAGCGGTACCATTTACCGCTGCCGATATGGGAGCCGCACTAGGACGCATACGGGCGTTGTGCGGTTACCGGCATTAGCACGTACACTTCCTGCCAATTAATCCAAAGTCAGACGACAGCCTGGTGTTGGCGCCGTTTCCGGCCGCGTGCGGGGTGTCGTGCTGGCGAACCGTGGCGGGACGCCGGTGCCCGTGACCCTGGCGCGCGTGGTGCCGGGGGCGCCGCCAGTGCCCCCACGTCAGCTGCGGCCGCGCGGCGTCCGCCGCGCCCCGCCGGCCGGCCGTGACAAAGGCCGTTGCCGCCGGCCGACCTGATGACGGGTGCCGTCACGGCGTGCTGCCGTCTGGAGGGCGGCCTATTGTCTGGCCGGCCAGGCGCGGCGCCGGCGCCGGCTGTGCGGACGGCGAGCCGAGCCGTCGGGCGTCGGCCGGCGACCGCCGCCACCACCGCTGCCGCCAGCTCCGCCACCGCCACCGCTGCCGCTGCCGCCAGCTCCGCCACCGCCACCGCTGCCGCCGCCGCCAGCTCCGCCAGCGCCGCCGATGTCGGGGCCCGGCTGAAACGGCCCGTCGGCGCGCGAGGGAGGGGCGTTACTGATCAGGCCGCTCCTTTGCGCGCCAGCGCGGGGGTTAGAGTGTGGTGGTGACTCGCACGCGGTGTGGCCGAGCAGCCTGCGCGCCCATGCGCTCTTGCTCACTTGTATGTAGGATCATCCTGGCTAAGACAGGTGAAATTGGGCTTATTGTACAAGTGCCATACGCTGTGTAGTGGAAAGGATAGTTGTGTCACGGGCTGACGCAATATAATCTCGTTTACGTATATCGCGTCCACGCCAGAGTAATCATTTATTGCTGACCGACGTCATGGAAAGCCGATACCGTAAGTATCGAACCCCAAATGCCACCGATATGGGCGCTGCCATGAGTCGTGCATTGCCTGTTAACGCAGCGGTGAAGCCACATCCCGTCGTTACTCTCAGCGAACGTGGCGTATTGCTCAACGCGGACATCTAAATACAGCTGCCAGGAAAAGTGACATTTCCGCCCCTGAAACTGCCTGCGAGAGCGTGCGGCCCAACCTTGTCTCGATGAAGCAATCCTGTGAGGCGGCACAATGACAATCTCCACAGGTCGAGCTGACAGCTCGCTATGTTGCAAAACGGACCGTTTGGGTGGCCGGTGCTGACGTATATGGGGTAGATCGTCCACTTGATCTGACAGTTCGCCGTTTGCGTTGAATCGGCGGCCGCTTCCCCTGCACATTTGTCTCGGATTTTTTTATTCTCGGGCGTCTGGCCTCATGTAAAACAGCTGGTGTCGTTCGATGGAGATGCTAGGCATGATCTGATGGGTATTGGTACAGGTTTGGCACGGGCTTTAAACTGGCATCAATCTACTTTCACACGACGTAGGACGTGCTGTTTCGTATTGTAAGTTTTAGCGCTCATTACAAAAGAAGCGTGCGAATAACAAACTTTTCAGCTGATGTGAGAAAATCAAACCTGTTTTAGGGCTGGTTACAGCTTGAAATGTGCTGAAACGAAAAGGCTACATTTTGGTAGCGTTCACTCTAGGTAAAACCACCCTACAGGCGCATCGTAAAACTTCCAGTATGTGTATTTGATATTATTTGGCGTGAAGTTGTATCAAGATTTTATTCAGCGGGCGTTTGGGTTTATTTCCGCGTGCAAAAGCGGGAGTGTCGACTGACAGACATCAAAAGCGTCCCGCAGCGTATGGGACTAAGTCTCTCCAGGAAGAGAGGTGCTGGGAGTGCCACTACCCTGGAAGCATCATGACACTTCTCTGGAAGGCACCGTGGCACTCTTATGAAAGGTGTCGTGACACTCCTGTGAAGGATGCGTGGCACTCCCCTGAAAAGTGTCGTGACACTCCTCTGAAGGGTGCCGTAGCACGTCTCTGGAGGGCGCCGTTACCTCCATCCTGATCTGCCCGGGGCACCCTGCCCGAGGGCGTCACGGCAGCGGCGACAGATGCGCGCCACCCTGCCGCCATCGGCACCGCTAACGCGACAGCTGAGATGACCGGCGCTTGCAGGCCATGCCGGGCGACGGAGCGGCGCCGGCCGCGGCAGATGGCCGGGCGCCGGCACGCGCGCTCGAT